TTAGTATCATTATCAACATGGTAATGTTATTAATAGCATTGACAGAAACAATAGCAACCACTAAGATAAGAGCCTTAACAACAGTAGCATTTACTGTATACTATTATATTAATTATCACAATGCATCTGACAGGCGGCTCCTAAGAATTCACACTAGTGAATACTTTATGTTTTTACCCTAAAGAGGAAAACTAGAGGATGCATCAATCCTAATACACCCTTGTCTCTGGGTACCTCCCTCTTCCACTGAGTTTAAAAAAACAAAGAGGAAAGTGATAAAACTATTACCAAACCAAATTTATTAATGGAATTAAGGAAGTTGTTAACTCTGTAATAAAAGAATATGACAAAGGATGTGTAGTTTTTTGCTCCATGGTTTGATCAGTGTCATTTGGCTGGATACAAGTAGTTCATCAGACAGAAATGTTTGTACCTTACTAGGTGAAGCTGTGAAAGGAAAGGGATTCTTGCATATTTAATATTTCTAAATATGATTCAGTTGAGAAAATATTTTGCTCTGTTGAGGAAAGGAATAGCACATCACCTGCTAAACAGGTTTTATAATCTGGTGTGTTGTGGATTCTGTTTTTATGACCATTAGGAGTGAGATACAAGTCATTGTCAGTGGAATACTCCAATCTAAATAAATAATGGAACTGAACTTAAGAAAGGAATTTTTTTCCTTTTGGTAAATCATAAAGTGATCCTCTAATCCTGATTCTAAATATTTGTTTATTTATCAATCCATAACAATTAATTCCTGTGTTACTGAATAAATATGAATATTCAGCAAGTAAAGTATCCTCAATGACTAGGAGTTCCTAGAAAGTATGAAGTTATCTGATTATTTATAGTTTTGGTTACAAATGGTTTCAGGGATCCTGTTGTTACTTTTGGTAATCTGAAGTACTTAGTAGATAAAGATAGATTCAGATTTTACCATTTATCTTCTTTGATGGCTTGTTATTCAAGTAGCTTTTATCAGAAATCTGTATCATTGATGGCCTTTAGATGGTAATGAGTATGTGAAATTAAACACTGGAAATAATTATGGGTAAGCAACAGTCTAAAAGTACATGACATACATTGATTTTTAATTTCAGTAAGAATCTTTGTATTACTTTTGGTGTCATAAAAGTTGAACTCAGTTAAATAAAGAGTTTCTTTGGGGTGTCTGAGGTTATACTCATTGGTAAACCACACACCTAGCATGTGTAAGGCCCTGGGTTCCATCCACAGCACTGCAAAACAAAAACAAAAACAAAAACAAAACAACGAAGGAAGAACTTATTTGTATTGTTAGACTTTTGTTTATCATTACTATCTTATGTTTACTTACTTTTTAAAAAAATATTTTTAGCTGATGGACACAATACCTTTTTTATTAATTTATTTTTATGTGGTGCTGAGGATCGAAGCCAGTGCCTCACACGTGTGAAGCAAGCACTTTACCCCAATCCTTATGTTTACTTTTTAAAAAATTGTTTGGAATTTAGTAAAGATACCAAACCTAGCAATAACTCATATTAGCCCTTATACTAGAGATAATAAGGTAAGTTACCTGTATCTTAGATCTGAGGAATGAAGTAATTTTGGGCATATTTAATATTGTGCTTTAGTTATAAAATTAAATTTGAAAAATTTAGATAAAAAGGCAAACCTTTTTATTCATTTAGATTTTTTTTTCTTTCTTTACAATACTGGGGATTGAACCTAGGGGATCTACCACCGAATCATATCCCCAGCCCTTTTCATTTTTTATTTTGAAATGGTCTTGCGAAGCTTCTGAAAGCTGTCCTTGAATTTGTGATCCTCCTGCTTCAGCCTCCTGAGTTTCTGGAATGACATGCATGTGCCACCATGCCCAGATAAATCCAAGTTCTTAAAAATCAAACCTGTATCCTAGAGAGGGTGCAGTGGAGGCAACTCCAGCTGTAGTCTTCAAGCAACTTGGCTGATAATGTCATGGTCTTGTGTGGAAGAAAAAGCTGTTATGATCAGTTAAAAGCAAATAACAGGGAGGCTTTTTAATCTGATACTTTCCATAAAAATGAGCAGCTTAGTTCTAATACTCTTGGAAAATTCCAAAGGAAATTACGCACACAGAGTCAGATAGAATGTACATTGCAGATGGCTGTGCCAACCTTACTGGTTCACAGATGGCAAAGTGTTAACAGAAACCATCATTTCAAGTTAAACTGTAAGGCCTAGTATTTAGTGTTTTACTCACGAAATATTTTCAGACTCACTCTGTTATTTATTTTTACTTCTTTCTTGGGGAAACTCAGGAATCATAGTGGTGCTCCTCTTTGCTTATAATGTTAAGGAAATCTGAAGTCTGGTTATGTTCACACCACTCTCCCGGGAAGACAGAGCTCATAACTGGGATGTCCCAATTTCTAACTCTGACACTCCTCCATTATTTTAGGCACAGAACCTCAGCTCATGCATTTGTGCCATTAAAGTACTGTGCGAGCCACTGGGATTCAAGATGAGATGGGGTAACATTGGGATAAGTGAAGTTATGCAACAATATGCTGCATTTGTTTGGGGCTTAAATTCTTAACTTTATGGGAAGGGACAAAGGGGCTTTGATATTTCCAATGAGCACTTACTCCTTTTTATCTTTTAAACACTGTTTGCGGACTATAATAAAGTCTGTTCTTGAAGACATCTTCTCTTGGGAGAAAACACAGCTTCTCCGTAAATCTCCACAACCCTTCTCTCAGTGTTTGGTCACTGCTGTTAATGAAAATTTATCGTAGTCTAAAGAACTGGGCAGATGTTAAAAACCCTCCTGGTCCCCACCAGCCAGGGAGGGTTCCTCTGTTTGTTATTTCCCGGCTGTTTGGCACGTTCCTGTGACATACAACAAACCCCCATTATAAAGGATTATATGACGAGTCAACAAGCATGTGAAAGATAGCAACCAAATGGTGACTCCCAATTACATGAAAAATTACTATAATCACCCCTGCTGTAACACCCGTCTGTTGGCAAAGTGGTTGATCCCCTCGAAAAGCATTAAAAGAAGGCCCAGTGTATTAAATAAAAATCTCAGTTCTGTGTGTAATCATAAAAATTAACACTGTCACTTTAAAAAAAAATCTAATTGGTGTCCTAAAGGGAAACCTACTAGGCTATGTAAAGTAGCTATTATGAAAATGTTTAGCCTTTTGAATGTATTTCAGACAGCGTTTGTGTTGCCAGATTTGTCAGCCAAAAATTCACTAAGCAGATTTGTCAGGGGCTGAGGCCATAATCTGTAAAACAGACATTGGCATAGAGATTAAAGATCAAGAGAATTATATAGGTTTTGTGACCATATGCCAAGATTCCTTTTAAAAAGTAACTTTGTTTTGTGTGGGCTGTAACCAGAAGCAAGCACTATCTTTGTTTGGTATTTAAAACAGTAGCGTTTCCTGCTGAGAAGGGAAGGAAGAGAACAAAATCGTCTCTGTCATCCACTTGGGGTGCGGATGGTGAGGACGGCAGAGATGTTTCTGACATTGTTCTCTCATTTCTTTCCTATCGATAATGGAAGCCACATGTGTGAGTCATGAATGAGAAATCAAGGGCATGAGAGCCCTTGAATCCGCAGTCTTCCCAGGTGGGGATTACAGAGTGTCCTGCACCTTTTCCCCTTTCAAAAACTGTGTCCTCAATACGAAGGGAGTGGACATTATAATCAAGCTTCCTTTTTCGGGCCACAGATGATATATTTCTGTCTATGTAGCTCCTTCTGCACAATTTTATGCTTTAGAAAAAAAGCCAATGACCCAAAATGGGCTGGGTGCAAGGTTCCCCAGTTCCTCTTGTAGCCTTTTGGCAACCTTGTCATGTGGCTCTGAGCAAGTCATGGAATCACTCTGAATTTCATATTTCTTAAATAAGGATGTGAATCCAGGGGTCTCTTAGGACCCCTGACCTCTCAAATTAAGAGATCCTGTAAAGAATCGGACTGAGCACAGGCTGCAAATACAGTCCTGCCAGATGCAGTGAGAAAAAGTGCTTTATGTTGCCAAAATATATTCCTTAGCATTTAATAGAATGATGGGCTGCTTCTCCCAAACAGTTGGAGGAAAGCACTATGCTAGAAAAACTAGGAAAATATGAAGAGTCTCTTGGAGTCCCATAACTTAGCTATAGGGATGCTTTCCCCAGAACTGTGGGGACTTTGCGGGGCAGATTGGGGCATTTATATCAGTCAAACACTGTAAGGACATCTGGGCACATTTGCACTCTTGAGATGACTGTGGACAAAGTGCATAATAATACTTCCTAATTTCCACAACACAGAGAAAGTCTATACCATAGATAACCCTGACACACACACACACACACCACACACAATTAATTTAACTAGATGGAAAGGAAATCACACACAATTTGTATGGGAACTTTCAAAGGCGCTTACACTAAAGCTTTTTCCACGCCACTTTAAAATTATATCTTCATCACACAAATGAAATACTGCTCAGGGAACCGCTGACTGAGAGAAGTGGCAAGCAGTCTTCCCAGACTTTATTCAGTACTCACATCCAATCACATGGGTAAACATAAATACATCCCAGTGCTTATTCAAACACTCACAAGTTATCTATATAAAGACAAACTACCATATATTCTCAGAAATAGATTTTTCTCCCCATTTCTTTTTTCCATTTTGCATCCAGTATATTAACTGTGAATTTTTTTTGGGGGGGGGGTAGCAACAGCCCTTCCTGGCCCCATCTATAATTTTCCATATTTGCTTGAGACAAACTCTGACACATTGAGACAAAGTTCCTAGCAAACAGTAATTCTAGGAACTTGGGGATGGGGCTGGGAGCCTAACACCGCCCACCGGCTGCAGACCTAGTGCTGAGCCTGCAGGAGCCAGGCTCTGCGCTCCACTGTACGGCAGGCAGGAGAGCAGGGGAGATACCTGCGAGCCGCGTTCGTGCCCACGCAGACACTAGGGGGTGTCCAAGGACCAAATGTGTTCCTCCTTCCCTTCAGCCTTGTCTCTTCGGTGCTCGTAGGTCCAGCTAACTTAAAGTGCGGGAGCTAAGGGAAAATCCTTCCAATTAATTCCTGTCTTGTGCCGAAATGAATAATGTGGGGTCAGTTTCATCACCAGGCCCGGATTCCCTGGGATCTCTGGCAGCAGCTGTAATCGCGGGGTTTGCAGCGGGGGCCATTCCATAATAGAAGCCACAGGTGATAGGGAGTGAGGTACAGTTACCAAATGCTTATTACCTGTGCGTGCCCGAATTCACATGTCATTGAAAAGAGGTCGCTGTTTCCTTTTTGAGGGAGGGGGAAGAGTGTGAGAAGGAAGGTCTCGGTCTCTCTCTCTCTCTCTCTCTCTCTCTCTCTCTCTCTCTCTCTCTCTCTTTCTCTCTCTCTCTCTCTCTTTCTCTCTCTCTGTTTCTGTCTTCTCATTTTCGTGGGGGTCCAGATCGCTTTTCCATGTAGATTATTTGTTGATTGTTACTTATTAGAAAACATTTGCCCTTGTTACTGTAGACATCTTCAGGCCTTTGGGCTTGGGTCTCTTTATGAATACCTATTACTTCTTAATTATGATGGTTTAATAAGATACGTCTTTCATTTTCATCTCCTATCTCTCTTCCCCTGTGATTCTTCTCCCTTTGCTATTGGTCCCTAAGGGCATGTTACTGGCTTTTCTTTATTGTTCCCATCTTCCCTTTGCCCCTCCTGGTGAATTAAAAAAATAAATAGAAAGCATTTTAAGGATGACAACAGTAATAATAAAGCCAGGAATTGCTTTCCAGCTAAATGCACTGATTGGAAGTCCTATTGAAAATAGCATAAACCTAATTGAAGTAGTCAACCCCTCCCAAACAGGTCACGCTATGCTCTATTAACATGAAGGTAAAACAAAGCTTGTGACATTTCTGCTTTTCCCAGACTCACTTTTCCTAAGACACATCAATAGTATTGACAATAGTATTGCATTGTGCTTCCTAGTGACCTGAGCTGTCATCTTGTGTTCCTGGATAATTCTTTCTTAATGAAACCTTATCGTTTCCTTTACCTATAACAATCAACAGAAAAATAATCATGTTTTAACATGTAGGAATCGAAAATTTGAAATAAATCAAAACCGTAGCCACTATTTGGCTAATAACACTGATCATTTAGATAGTGTGGATACTCATTGTAGCTGTTAAAGATTTGAATATATTTCCCAAATTTGTGGAAGTATTCAAATTGCACAAGAAATGTCTTAAGTGAAATGATCAGGACAGTTGAGTCTGTATATAAGGATCTATTATTTGATTTCATATTGAACCATTTAAGCAGACTCCTCAAGAGTCATTATTTGGTCCTAAGCTTTAATACTGAAGTTTCTTATGTGAGATGGAACTGACTATCAGATTTGATGGCAAAGCACTAGCAGCTGGGAAACTGCTCTTTCTCTCCCCTCTCATTTCCCAAACAATGTTTGCACTGATTAATACTATGCAACAAGACGTGACGCAGAGATTGTGTTGGCATTGTGTTCTGATGACCCCACACATTGTGTGCGCTCCGTGGTTCCTTTTGCTGTTCATAGTTATATGGGTTTATCAGAAATTACATGTCAGGCTCCCGATGAGTGTAATTGTATACTGATTGTGTATAGTTTTTTAAACCTCATTATTAGCCTTGTATGCAAACCAAATAAAAGGAAAGTTTAAAAAAGGAAAAAGAAAATAGCCTCCACTGGACGTCATGTCAGAGCCCAGGTGTTTGAGCCTGGATGCAGGGGGGAAACAAAATGTTCTCTCAGGGACATCTGCTGCAGCCATGTGCTTGAAAAAAGGGCCCTAATGAATGCAGGGGAAAGGAGAGGAGTGGCAGGGCATGGGGGGAGAGCTCCGTGGCTCTGCTTTCTCCTGACTCTGTTCTCCTTGCCTGCACGATTCATTTAATAACAAGGCAGGGAGGATGCTGAACGATGTGGTGTGTGTGCCCTCATTCATTTCAACTTTCATTAATTGGTGCCCCCATGGCAGTTTCTCTGAGTTCTGACCCTCTCCTTAGAATCACTCTTATCAGGAAAACAAAAATAAAAACATCTCAACTATGTAGCTACAAATTCAAATGGGGTGGGGGAGGGAGGGAGGCAAAGAGTGATGAAATGAATAGAGCTTTCTTTGCAGGGCTGAGCCCTTCTGCCCATTTACACCTGAGCAATTTATTGGACACTTCTAAGATGGTTATTATCCAGGGTTTGCATTCCTTGGACGCACAAGTGGGAAGCTCAGCAGGGAACGTTGAAGTATTACATACCAAGGATGAGGGCCATTAGAATTAGACTCGCTCTAATGTGGGAACTGCTTAGTTCTCTTTTAAAAACCTTTAATCAGTATACAGTGGTTCAGTACACAGATGTTAGCACCAGTGTGAAGGCTCTCTAATTGTAATTTAAGTTATCCCTGCCTAAGGGCTCCCAATCAAATTATTAGACTGTTGCAGTGAGTCTGTGGCTCTTGGTTGCACCTTGCAAGGGGGTATTTTCTGGAATGATGAGAAACAGTGGTTTCTCCTGGGAAGCAAATGTACCATTATGGACTTATTAGGTCCTTGATTAGATCCACAGCTGATAAGTGAGTAGACTTTTCAAGAGAAAATATTGCAGTTTGTTTCAATCTCCCTCACTCAGCCATCGGATTGTGGAAAAGGAAGTAAATGAAATAGAACGAAGGGAAATATGCATGCAATTAAAAAAATGGTTGTAAAATTTATTAATCAGTTTTTTTTAATAAATTGCCATTAGCTGATCAGGCATTAAATGGTAAGGCTATAATAATTTGTTTTGTTTGTTTCTTGTTTTTTTTTTTCCCAAACCCTAAGCTTCTTTTCATTGACAATTCTCTGACTGAACTGCCAAGACTCAAAAGAGTTAAACATTCAGAGCGATAATTAATTAATTAAGCGGTCCTAGAAAGTTAACCTCTCAAGTTTCCTTCCTGAAATTCATGTTTATCTGATTTGCTTTAATAAGCGACTTGCTATTGAACTAGTTTTACATACTTTAATTTGAAGATAATTACAGTGCTATAATTCACATTTCAGATGCACATTAACTTTTCAAAAGATATCAAGCCAGATACCTTTACCTAGCATTGTGCTTATTTTTTAGTAAAGTGTAATCTGAATAATAATCGACTGGCTATAGTAATATCTTTTAAGTCGTCCTATTAAGAGGCATTTATTTGATTTTAATTGTAGAACCATTGGTCATATTGAGTTCATTTCCTGTTCATGTTGATTTCATGGGTCTCTCCATTAGTATTCAATTGCACAGTAATTAGTCATTAGTTCACCGTGATGTCTTCAAGCATGTGTACACTTATATTCTCATTTTCCACTCAGTTTCTGCAGTCATATTTGAATTCTCTATTTCTGAAGGAAAGGAAGGTCACGATAAGGAAGACGAAGTGCTAGATCATGAATTTATTAGATTAAACATTTTGCCAAAAGGCCCCTAGTTGAGGCATGCAAAAACTGATGCATTATAAATGAAATAAGTGGCAGCTGCCTAACCACAATACTGAAGTTCCTGAGATGTCAAAAGCTGGGATCTGAAGCATTTGTGATCAGAGATGAAATAGAAGCTATTTAGTGAAACTTCAGAATGGCCCTTGAGCCCCGTGTACACCTGGCTAATTCTGATTAGAGCATCTTCAATTTCTGAAGAAAGGTCAAATTCCCAACTTATTACGAAGCTTCAATAATGTGCTGAATTTTGCTGTTTTAACCAACTGTTTGGTTTTTCAGATCTATTTTCCCTTATGATCGAAAGCATTTTCTAAAAAATATATTGTCAATGGATTAATTAATTCCAAATGTGCTGTGTTTTTAGCTTGCATTTTATCTAAGGTATTCATTTAGCTCCCATGAAAAGTAAATATGTCATCTGTCATAGTCTGTCACAAGCTCATAATTTAAATCCATTAGAAAATTGTTCCTGCTTTTTATTTGAGCTGGCTTCACATTGTTGTCCTAATTAAATTGGAATCTTATATCATTTAAATGTTAGACTTGGAAATGAAATTATTTTTATTCAGGTGATAATGGCAGTCCTCATGGCAGAGCTCAAAAACATTGCTTTTAGACTAGTTGAGTCAATGTTCAAGAAGCCATCGTTGCTTGGTATAAGTTCCCATTGCATTTATTCCCTCTGTGAAATGAGAAGCACGAGAAGTGGTGTCCCCAAGTTAAAGGATCTCTCTACAAATAGATAAGTTCTACAGTAGCCTGTTTCTATGTCCTTTTTGTTTTGTGGTCCAAAGGCAAATGAATTATTTTTTAAAATTTATTTTATTATTTTTTAAAAATACATGACAATAGTGGAATGCATTACAATCCTTATTACACATATAGAGCACAGTTTTTCGTATCTCTGTATGTAAAGTATGTTCACGTCAATTTATGCCATTATACATGTACTTTTTTTTGCATTACAATTTTAATACACGTATATACTACAATTTTTCATGATAAATGAATTCTTATAAATTGTCTAAAAAAGGTATTTTACACAATAGTTTACATAGATGCTCCTCAGAATTTAATGTGTAAGTGAATTTCTTGATAAACTGCTGAGTCTGTCTCAGTAGATCTGGGTGGCCTCAAGATTCTGCATGTCTTATAAGCTCCCAGGTGAAGCTAGTGTGGCTGGTCCCTCTTTCACACTTTGTGTATCAAGATCAATCATCAATAAGAATGATTAAAAAATAATTTTCAGATTTTAGAACAAATATCCTGAGCTGTTATTTGGACTTAAGACTTTGCTAAGATGCTATTTATTATTGTTAATTTTTAAGGTTCAAAATATATATTTTAATTCCTTTAGAAGAAACTTTCTTAAGAGGAAGATGTGTGCTTCAAACTCACACTTTTGACTTAAACATACTCATTGCAGCATGTTTTTCCATATATTAAATTTAATATGTGAAGTTAGCAGGAAATATGTTACTTTTTAATTTTTTTTTTGTGGTGCTGGGTTTGAACCCAGGACCTTGTACATACATGCATCTTTTTTTAAATATATAAAATTAAATTATCTTCAATTTTGGTTAAATATCTAGGCTTAAGGAATTAATTTTCATCTCTAAATTTAGCAGTATGAATCTTCCCAAAGGATAATATCTGATAAGTTAATGATAATGGATGCCAATTTCAGAATCACAAGAAACTGTGGAAAGCCCCAGGTATTC